ATGTTTCAGATATTCTGTAGTTAGAAACTGGTTTACTGAATGTAATTATATGGTATTGAGATTTCAGCAAACCATATCCTTGTTTACCTTCATTTTGTCCGTAAACTCTGTTGCATTGGCCTGCATCCACAGGTGCACCAAATGTTAGGGTTCTTTGGACTAATCATATTAATTAGTGCAACTGCCTTTTTTGGGTTTATAACAGTGATTTGTCTCTGATAAATCTGATGCTACTGATATCAATCGATTAGAAAAAGTTAGCACAATCTTAGGAGATAATCCTATCCATTAGTTCAGTAAAGGCAGGGTCTGATAAATATGCTGGCCTGGTGATGAGATTTTGCTGAGAGCTTGAGATTTGAAGTGTTAATTAAATACAAGCAACAAAACTACTGCCATGCTTTAAATTTAAAGTATTTGCTGATGCTCATTAATCTGGAATTGTGTGTTAAACTGTCTGAATTTGTATTTTCATTTTGACTTGTTAAAGTTATGGGACTGCTGTAATTGGTGCTTAGATGACATTTAACTACATCCACTTGTTATGAAGTTGATGTAGCAGTACTGAAGTGTGTCACATAAGGACATATTACATCAATCTGGCAGGGCGGAAAAACAAAACTGTATACCGCCTTTGCATTGCTATTGTATTTTTTCTTTGAGAGAACAATAATATGTTAGTTTTTCTTTTGATTTAGAGCATAATGTTAAGATGTGAACTAAAGGGAAGAAGTGGAAGGTCCAGTCTAATGTATCTCAGGTGTTCTGAGCCTTCTATCTTCAGTTGCCAATTGTCTTGTAAAGGCCGCGTTCGTGATCCTGCCACTGGATGGTGGACCTGGATTATATCAAATTTTATTTGTCTCAGGGGATCAGCTCCACTTTGAATCCATTGGTGCAGGAGAATGAACGTTTGCCTTGATTTGTGAATGTACCTCATTTATGTCTTTAACTACTTTTACTGAGAAACTGTGTTTTCCTATTTTATAATAGCATTACGGTGAATGCTGCCTAGAATTCAGGTGCCTGATCTGTAATTTTGCTAAGTCATGCCAAAAATATAACTAGTCTAAAAGCCAAAATGTTTTAAAACTGTTGTAAAATAGTCTGAATTTTGAACAATTGCACAGTTTAAATAAAGATTTTCCATAAAAATGTATTGTTATGCATTTAATGTTAAAAAATACTTATGCAAAATAATTCAAGATAGTCAAATCCATTAACAGTTCTCAAGTGATCATCTTCTCTGGGACCTAAATCTTCTACGTTTGTAGCATCAACTCAGTTTAAATTTAAATCTTTCGTCTGTCTGCCATGTTGCCTCTAAACCTTCCCTTCATGACATTAGCACCAGTACTAGGGAAGGAGGGACCTAAGGAATCTAACTCCAGCTAAAACAGATAAGGGCTAGCTATGAGAAGGGGGGCAGTCAAAGCAGGATTGAGGGTGTTGTAGTTAAATGCATGCAATATATGAAACAAAGTAAATGCTCTCGTAGCCCAGATTGAAATAGCTAGGTATGATATTGTGGGTATCACAGACATTGCTGCAAGGGGATCAAGTCTGGAAACTAAGTATCCAAAGATTCACGTTCTGTTGAAAGGACAGGCAGATGGACAGAGGGAGCAGGTTTGCCTTATTAGTAAGAAGTGAAATTAAATCAAAAAGCAAAAACTAATATATAGTCAGGAATTACAGAATCTGAGAGAATAAAGGATCTGCAAAGGAGAAAGGACCCTGACTGGAGTTAATGTAGCAAGGTGTTACATTAGACATTTTCTAGGCCTCTGGTATCCTCCCTGACTGCAGTGATTCCTGAAAGATCACCACCAGTGCCTCCTCAGCTACCTCTTTCTGAACTCTGGGGATCTTATTGAAACATACAGAATATGGAGATAAAAACTGAAAGAACTGCGGATGCTGTAAATCAGGAACAAAAACAGAAATTGCTGGAAAAGCTTAGCAGGTTTGGCAGCATCTGTGAAGAAAAACTCAGTTAACTTTTCGAGTCCGGTGAGTTCTGAGGAAGGGTCCCCGGACCCGAAATGTTAACTCTGATTTTTTCTTCACAGATGCTGCCAGACCTGTTGTAGAATATAGAGATGCCTGGTTAGAATGGATGTAGAGAAGATATTTTCACTAGTAGGAGAGATTAGGACCTGAGGGTACAGTCTCAGTGAGAGGATGACCCTTTAGAACTGAGATGAGGAATTTCTGTAGCCAGATGGTGGTTAATCTGTGGAAGTTATTGCCACAGAAGGATGTGAAGGCCAAGTCTTTGAGGCTGTTTTAGAGACAGATATAGATTCTTGATTAGTAAGGGGATCAAGGGAGACAGTAGGAGAAAGGGGTTAAGAAACATATCAGCTATGATCGAATGGCTGAGCAGACGTGATAAGTCAAATGGCCTAATTTTGCTCCTATATCTTAACGGTCTTTTGGCCTGAAGGACACTGACTCTATGCAAAGATGCTGTTCCACAGGTGTCCCATGTACTTGAATTGAGTGCCTGTAGTTCATATAGTGCCCACTGACAGCAACACATGTTCTTACCTGATTCACTCAACACACCTATCAAAAATAATTGGATAGCAACTGGGAGTGAAATTCTCATTAATTAAACCATCAGATTGTTAAGGAGCCCAATTCTTACATAACTTGGATCAGCTAACTACCAAACAGACCTCATCCCTTTCCAGTCAGTGGGCTAATGAACTTGTCCTTTATTCAATTGAACGCTTGAGAGAAGATTGACCTGTTTTTCTAACCAACCTGTTCGGAGATGTTATTACACACCTCTGGAGCCGGTGGGACTTGAACATGGAACTCTTGGTCTGGGGTAGGGACACTACTATTGTGCCACAAGAGGGCCCTGGAGAAGTTTATTGAAAGCCATTTTCTTTTTACAAGCAATGCCCATGGGGGTCTACTTTGTCCTTTTTTCTAAATGAACCTACTTTTCTAATTAACCTGTTTGGAGATATTATTACACACCTCTGGAACAGATGGGACTTGAACTCTGGCCTCTCTGGTCCAGGGGCAGGGACACTACCATTGTACCACAAGAGTGCCTATGAAAGCAGTTTTCAAGCAGATTTAATTGTAGCAGGTTTGATTTTAATTGGGACTACCTAAAACAAATATGGAAATCAATGATTTCTGTCCAGAACTGGTTTATTGTTTCAAAGCAACTTTCATAGATAAAACTGAATGACAGCAAGCAGTTCGACTGCAACTGAATTTTCACCTGGTCCTAAGGGGATTCCATATTGAAATGGGAGCCTGTTGAAGTGG